AGCTCAAAGAGCTCATGGACAGGTGCGCCGCCGCCGCGGACGCCCCGAGGCGCGACGACGTGGTCGACCGCAAGTTGGCCAACACCCCAGTCAACCGCGTCGGCTCCCCGGGGCACGACGGCATGTCGCCCACCTCGGTCCGTCCGCCCGCGTATAAGGACCAGCCCCGCAGCCTGGCCACGCCCGCCGACGCCCCGGCGCGCCCGCCGCTGAAGCCGCCCCAGAGCTACCACCTCAGCGACGCGTCGCGGCCCGTGCCGGCGCCGGGCATCGTGCCCCAGGCGTACCCGCTCAACCCGAACTACACCTTGTACAACAGCGGCGACGGTGCCGCAAGGCCCGCGGCCCCGGTGGGCGACGAGCCGCTCCCGCTCGCGGCGCGGCCCGCTGCCAATCGACAGGTATCGGTCTTGATGGACCCGCTCCAGCCAGCGCCGCCGGCGGGCGCTGCCCGCAGCACTCCGCCCAACGGAGGCCCGGAGAAGCCTAAGGACGAGGACCCGCAGCCCTACGTGCAGCAGTACCAGCCGTTTGCCCCTGCGCACGCGTACTACCAACACATGATGCAGGACCAGAGCCACTTGCGGACGACGTCCTTGCCCGTGATGCTCCACCCCCTCCCACAGCAGCTCGCAGCCAGCACGCCGCAGCGCCACCTGATGAACCTGTTCTACCAGCAGCGCGAGGAGCAGGCCCGCGCCGGGATCGTGCGCCCGGCGACGGCGCCCAAGGAGCCCGGCTTGCTTGCGAAGACCCCGGTGAGCGAGCTGCACTTGAAGAAGACGTTGCCTTCGATGGAGGAGCTCAACAAGTCGTTGCGGAGCGCGTCGCCCGCCGCGCGCCCGTTCACTTTGCAGCTGCCCGGGAAAGGCGAGGACGAGCAGCTGAAGAGACGGAAGGTGGAGGAGTGACTGTATCGCAGAGAGAGGCACGGGGAACTGTCGCTCCAGGACGCGCCGATAGAGAAGTCATTGATAGAGACGCTGATAGAGAAGCCGCCGATGGGGGACACACTGCGAGAGAGAGGGCCTTGATAGAGAATGTACGATAATAGAGAAGGCGCATTGCCACGGAACGGGCATGATGCCTTGACACTGAATGCCCGGACACCGAGAGATAGAGGCACAGGACGCCCGGACACCGAGAGATATAGACACTGAGATATATTGACACTGAGATGTTGGCACTGAGATATTGACACTGAGATGTATTGATATTGAGATATATTGAGAGATGTATTGAGAGATATATTGAGAGATATGTTGAGAGATATAGACACTGAGATATATTGACACTGAGATTTTGGCACTCCGATATCACTGCCTGGACACTACAACGTCTTAACACTAAGATGCATGGCCACTCGAATATCTCCGACGGCCAGAACGGTCAACCCCAGGACGGACGTATGAAAAAAAAGCCGTGCAATGAAGATTGTAATAAACGATGTTGCTCTACATGCACTTCGCTGGACCGGTTGCGCGACTTGGCCCAAACTGATGGACAGAATACATCACCTAAAGGCCCATCAAAGCCATGGCGCCCGCGAGCTCACAAGGCACGTATCCTCAGCGGAAATTCAAGTCGGAACTCGCGAAGAAAACAAGCCTCAAAATAGCAAAGGACAACTCGGACATGTTGATTTACCTCGTGTATATGGACTATCTCAGCAAGCTCGTGCATAGTTCGGGAGGGAAGGAGCTTACCGAGCGGGGAATCGAGAAAGCGCACGAAAAGCTCATGAAAAAATACAGGGGCTGATCCGGGGTCCTCTTGTCTGACGTGTGTGTTTTGTAGAGGTGTGTCTTGTGGCCTATAGATGTGTTTGATCTGCCGTGCGATTGAGCGGGGCGAAGACACGGAAGTAGTGATGAGTATGTAAGCATACGAAAGGAGGGGTACGATTTTGGGTCATGGTGGAATTGGTAGGATTTTGATGGTATTGACAGGATATCTTGATGGTATTGACAGGATATTATGATGGTATTGACGGGATATCTTGATGGTATTGACAGGATATTATGATGGTATTGACGGGATATTATGATGGTATTGACAGGATATTATGATGGTATTGACGGGATATTATGATGGTATTGACGGGATATTATGATGGTATTGACAGGATATTGGCTGGTTATGGCATGGTTGGCAGATTATTGATATGGGTGACAGATTATTGGTATGGGTGACAGATTACTGATTCTGGCATGGGTCCTGATTCTGGCATGGGTCCGGTCCCAAGCACCGGCAAAACGGCCGCCTTCATACACGGCGTGTGTGTTGAATCTCTACCAGTAGTCTTCCCCTGGATGCCTTCAAATACGCAGGCGTCCGGAGGTTGGGAGAACTTCGGGCCAATGCTCTTTGGGCCGTGTTGGCGCAGGTCCAGCCACACCCAGCGCGTTCAACACCCACACTATAGAGTGCCCGTATAGGATCACAGCGATGTATTCCTACTCAGTCAATATGTACAAGAGGGACCTCTAAATGTCCAGAGAAGCCCAAGGCATGTCGAGGGGTCCAAAGAACGTCTCAGTAGCGTTCCAGGGAATGTCAGAGGACCCCAAAAGAATGTCCAGAGAAGTCCCACGAGCCTCTCAAAAACCTCAAACAACCCAAACAACCTCAAACAACCCAAACAACCCCAACAAACCTCAAAGAACCCCCAGAGACCCCCCGAAACAAGCGGCAGGCCGTGTCTAGAAAGAGCCGTGCGGATTGTTCAAGGTGTCCACCATGGCAAGGGCCTGGCGCGGGTCGTTCTTGTTGAAGACAAACAACCCTTGGAGCTGCGCCGTGCTGACCTTGCCGAGGAGCCCGAGCTCGTTGAACTTGGCAAGGAACTGCTCGCAAAGGTCCTTGTCCGCATAGAAACGCAAGAACATGCGGCGCACCTGGGACTCCGTGGCGTTGCCCACCATGATCTTGTAGTCCACTCTGCCCGGGCGCAACAACGCCGGGTCCAACCGCTCCGGGTGGTTGGAGGTCATGAACGTGATGCACTCCTCGGCACTGGCCACGCCGTCCAAGGCGTTGAGGAGCCCGGAAAACGTGACCCCGCTCTGGAAACCCTGCTCCGCCGTCTGCGCTCGCTTGTTGAAGGCCGCGTCGATGTCCTCCAAAAGCAAGATGGACCGCTGCGGAATGTGGTTCATGAGGTGGTTGAGCCGGTCGTCCGTGAGGTTGTTTTCCGACAAGTTGAGGATGCAGATGTCGTAGTCCAACTCGCCGGCCAAGGCCTGGATGTACGAGGTCTTGCCGCTGCCCGGCGGGCCGTACAAGAGATAGCCTCTGCGGTACGGGATCCCCCGCTCGTGGTACCACTCGCCGTTGGACAAGAAATCGCGCACGTCCGCGATGATGGCCTCGCTGCAGCCCTCGTCCAAAATGACCGAGCCCATGACCCGCTTCTTGCGGGGGTTTCCGAACGGCCGCCACTCGGGGCCCCACGACGAGTAGAGCACGGTCTTGCCCTCCTGCGCCTTGAGCGCCATGTGCTTGGCCTCCGTGAGCAAGTCCAGGAACAAGTGCCTGTCGCTGTAGAGAGTGGTGAGCTTGACGGTCTCGAACGGCGTGCCGTTGGTCATGTCCAAGAGCTTGCCCGAGCGCTCCCGGTTCACAAGCATGTACGCGCCTTTGTACTTGATCAAGTGCTTGCCCGGGCCCGGCACGAGCGAGAACTTGGTGGTCAGGGCCCCGTTGTCGTGCTGCGTGAACATGGTTTCTACAGACAAGTGCCGCGAGCGGCGGCTCTTATACTGGGACATCCACTCCAAGAACCACAAGTACAGCTTGTCCTTCGACGGGATCTCCAAGTCTACGAGCATTTGACGATATATAAAGCCGGAGCCCTTGACGACGCCCTGCCTTGCCACGGCCAACCCGGTGCCTAGCAACATGAGGCTTCCGCCGGCGGCGAAGTAGGGGTTGTTGCCGATCACCTCGGCGAACGCCGAGCGCGCCATGCCGAACACGGACCCGTCCGAGTCCTTTCTGATTTTGTCAAAGTCGATTGACGGCGGTTGCGGTTGTGCCATTGCCTGGAAGAGAGTGGTTGGCGGATGGATCGTGATGGAGAATCCGCTTCCAAGTCGCGGGCCCGGTGCACGGGTTCCACGCCGCTCCGAGTAATACCAGTGCTGGGGTTTCGGGCATTTGATCGGGAGGGCTGGGAAGGGGAAGAAACGGGAAACAAAAAAGAGGTCAGAAGGCTCGGGAAAATGCAACAGCAGAAAAAGCAGAGAAAAAGCAGAGAAAAATCAATTCTTTCCTCTGCTAGTGTTGACTATTGTACAGGCTATTAGTGCCTGGCTGAATGTAAGTCGCGTTCCTGGGCAAACATGGTTTTTTTTTTTTGTTTTTTTGCTAGATTCATCTGAGTAAAGGGGCAAAACTATATAAATAACATATATAAAAAACCTTTGAACAGCTCCCAGCTACGTATCAAGGGTCTTAGCTCGGCCCGTCGCCTTCCTTTTGCGTACTTGTGAGTTCTTTCAGTGCTTTATGATCGATGATGCAGAAATTTGTAGAGCTCTCACAGCTCAACAGAACTGCGATTGGTGAATGGAGGCTGTTGGTATGGGTATTTATAATTCGTCAGACATACCATACTATGCCTTTTATCATTAATTAAGATAATACAAATACCAAAGAAAAAAAAATTACACCAACGGGTTGTGGTAAATTCGCAGCCTGGCCGTTCTTTTCGGGGAAAACGTGCAACGTCCGTATTTTTAGCTTTTGATGTCAATTGTGGGTTGTTTGCCGACATCGGTGGCCATTTACTCCAGGTGCGGTGGACGCGAGAGGTCCAGGCCCTGTGAGCCACGTTGGCATGTCTGAAGCTGGCACTCCCGCCTTACCCACAGACCAAGATTGATACATCAGGTCTAAAAACGGGCAAATACATTTTGCTATTAAACCGAAAGACTCATCAAGAAGACTCGTGATGCATTCGAGGATTCATACGAGGGGGACCGACTAGACAGATCAAGTCAATAAGCATTGGACATGGATCCGTAGATTGATCAGTAGAGAAGATATTAGTGGAAAAAGATTGAGAGATGTATCACCCAAACATAGAGCCGCCGTCCAAAGACAGGAATATTTGTGAGAAGAGTCTTATATAACATCGATGGAGATATACTCGCTGTCAAAGCATCCCATGGAACGCATCGAAAAACCAAGCTTGATGATGAGCCGGATGTGAACCAATATTGATCACATGAGCTGCACGAAGAATGTGTGGTCATGACTTATTCATATATAAAAACCACCAACCATGCAGTTCAAAATAGCTGACTCTTTCAACCTGTGAAACAGTCATCTGGATTGACCATCATTCACTGATATGATAAGGACTGACGACTTTGCTTATGTTTATTCAAGGGTCAAGGTCGACTACATTCAACAAAAACATTCGTTTGACCTGCTTCTAAGTAAAGCGTAAATATGATCGTGAATTATCAGGGTATGTTTAAGCCACCAATGGCTGAGACCCATTTATATATCCCCTGCTGTATACTTATTAACGCTATGCTTCAAGATATAATTAACAAATGTCAGACAGCTAGGCGGGTTTTACAAAAGGTGCGTCACATGAGGCCATTCGAGCCGTGAAATACCTACACTACGAGCGTGATCTCTTATTGAAAGAAACGTTTGACAGAATTGAAGACGAAAGTGTGGGAAACTCACTGAGAAAGAACAAGAAAAGACAAAACCTAACAACATCTGAGTCCCCAATCTTCGTTTGTGTAGATTCACCCGTGGTTGCTAAAATTTCAGACCAAAACAGATCAGAAGCAATTTTTCAAATGTATTCACATGAGATACGGATGCTAACATGAAATAAACAGATTGAGATTTATCTATGATTATGTAACTCGTAAAATTTGAAAACTTTGTTTTTAACTGACATTCACGAGGTATGTCCCAGAAGATAATAACTGAGAAGATAGTCTCGTCTTAAACTTGGCTTGTGAACTTTTTTGACACATTTTTTTTGGCAGCAAGACTGCCAGCTGTATTGTATAAAGATTTGGGGATATACTGCATAATTTGGATGGCATGATGATATTGACTCGCTAGTTTCTTTCAAACTGTGTCAAACAGGCTCGCCTGCTGATAAAAATGACATCATGCTTGCAAAAATAAGAAAATTAAAACTAAATAATGTGATTAGACAAGAAGAAAAGAAGGCAGTCAGGTGAGATGAAAATCCGACAATGAGGTATTTAGGCAGCAGAGGGTTTGGAAGAACCACCGCTCAGCAAAACTGATCAAGCACAGTGTCTCTGTTGAGGTTCAAGCGTGATGTGCCTCAGGAGATTTGTCAGACAAACACAATAAGAGAATCTTGGAAAGCCTTTTAAGGCAATTTTTGAGCAATTTTTCGCCTCAGCCCTTTGGGTCTTGTATCTTCCCCCTACAACAGAAAAGTACCAGGAAGATCTTTATGGTACGATATTGGCTGATTCAAAGTGGAATCTGAGATCCAGCTTGGGCGTATTCTGAGTCGGAGCTTTCAGGAATTGACGTGTCCTGTGATACCCCCATATGGTTCCTCTTTTGCAAGGTCAATATTTGATCAGCAATAGGCAGTGCCGCTTTGATGGTGTTAATGTCATTGGCTTGAATATAAAATTTCTTTAATTTTCATAAGTTCGAGACATAGAATCAAACATGGTGAACGCAAAATTGATTAAAAAACAAGCCGTCTAAGATTTTCAGCTCTAGGATTAGGCTGCCGGCAAATCAAAGCTAAAGGATTGAAAATCTTCTGCATGGAGGCTGATTGTAATTCAATATCAGAGGAGGTTGGGTTCATTATGCATGGAAGCTCTGTCTTGAAAATTCCTGGCGAGTTCACCTTTTTTAAAAGCTCATCAATATCAACGACCAGAAGTATTCCTATACAATGTCCTCTTTGGTGGTCAGAAAAAACCTGGATGCGGCTAGATCATAATATATGAGCTTATCCCCAGATGGTAAAGCAGTGTCAAGCTGTGGCTTTTAACACAGAAGAATAGCTCGTATCATGCACAAGACTAATAAAAGTAGCTATGTTGAGCTTTCAAATGGAATCACAGGATACATTGGTGAGGCACGAGAAGTACTGCAGCCTCATAAAGATTTTGTATAAATCTTAAAGCTTTTTCATCTCTTATATCTAATGAAGCATATCCTGCTTTTGAAACTAAAAAATAACCATGATCATCTATTAATACACTTAATCATTGTATTATTTTAACATTCCTATTATTTGATACACCCCCTGTTGTTGATATACCGGGTAAGCTAGTTGAATACTTTTGTTTACCATTAATGTTTAACAAATGTATAGTCTCTGAGGTTCCTACTTTCGTGCTATGCAATTTTGCTACCTGCGAATTAATACATCTTTTATAACTAACATCTATATAGTTGTAGATTTTTACTTTAGAGGCATTAAATATACGACTTATATCTAAAGTACTATAAAGATAATTTCACAACGGGGAGGTATATATAGTAAAGTTCTCGCATATAGTTTGTAACGGCCATCTTTGACCGAAGAATCAAAAAAAATCAAAGAGTTTTACTTTTGCCTTGATTATTCTGAGGATATATTTTGTTGGACATCTCATAGAACTAATGATCTGTAGCAAGATCATTTGCACTAATAGACTTGACCTTTTGGGGAGCTTGGTGTATGATCTTTGAAAACCCTTGATTTCCCATGCCTGTGCTACTACTTTGCTATATCCAAAGATCTGGACTTTGCCAAAACAATGTCCGAGTTTGTTTTTACTAATATAGCCCATACCAATACAACCAGCAAAAATTGAGAGATTAGTATAGCTGCCTTGGGAAGACAGATGTGAAGTGAACGAGTCATCATATATGCATTGTAAGTTAAGGAGGCTGTTTTGCTCGAGGTCTTGTGTGCTCCAACGCAACGGTTTCAGTTGCCGTTACAAAGGCTCGCGCTAAACCACCATCCACAATTCGGAAGAGTATGGGATGATGCCTTGAACAGAGTTTCTTTGAAAAACACTGGTGATCAACGCATAGGTACAAGCATCTAGAAAGTTTTACAAAGAGAACGTTACCACATGATGCATGAAACTTTGTGAAAAGGAAGGCACAACAAACTAAAGTTTGTCCCCCGACACAATAAAGCAGCCACATTGGACTGCTTGGGATATTAGGCCTTGTTGTTTTTCTCGTGAGAAACGCTTGGCGGTATCAAAAGCACCATTCAACGAACAGATATGCCCAAAGCTTCATCAAAGCATTGTAGATACATAATGACTTAGATTGGAACTATAAAACAGCGCGCCTTGCGCATTTAAAATTACACCCCAGGAAAGGAATGAGTCCATCCGCGTAATGCAATGTCGACAAAGCGTCTTGGCCCATTTTTTTTTTTGGTTTAATTTGATGTGTTATTTTGTCTAGGTTTGCTTCCAGGACGGCGTTGCAGGCGATTGTTGGCGAAGCCAGAACCCAGGGCAAGAATTTGCAATGCAACTTCACTGCCGTGCCGATGAACTGTCGTGGTTTTCCTTACATTAGCGCATTTTTAGATTCGCAGCTTTCAATCTCGTAGAGTTGCGATTCATCCAAAGTTGACGCAGAAATACTCTCTTGCCCATTTAAAAATCCCACTGCAACTGAATGATACTGGAAGATCTCTTATCATAAAAAACGTTATATATGAAAGAACAACAGGCACCACGAAGTGCTAACGTCACTACAGCGAAAGCCCAATTAGGATATACGGCCAAGATCGGCTCACATCCGTGAAGAGCAAGTTGGGGGTTGTGCCGGTTGTGCCGGTTGCGGAAGAGGCACAGCGACGTGGCGGGCGCTTTCTATTCGCTTCGTCGAAACAGACGAAGTGCTACTTTGTTGCGTTTATTACTACAACTACAGGCCTGCCTAGAGGTGCCGTCTTTTGGGCGCCACACAGAATGCCGGTCTCTGTGCACATAAGATACAGCCCTTCGTAAAAAGGAAAGATCTTCCAGGGCCCCGCTGCCGGCCATGTATCTCGCCCGGTCAGAGATGTTGGCGGCAAAGATGTATCCAATTTAGCCGCCGCGGCCCCATGCCCCGCGGCCCCAGAAGCCCTGGCCCCTGGCCGAATCGCACTGGCCCAATCGCACTGGCCTAATCACACTGGCCTAATTATCACACTGGCCCAATCGCACGGTGGCCCCAGAAGCCCCAGGCCCCAGGCCCCAAACCACGCAACAAGCCCATGCCCAAGGACGGACCCAGCACAACAGACAGCAACACCCCAAGACACCCCCTCTCTGCAGAAGCCAAATTTTTTTGCAGCCAAGATCCCCGCCCCCTCCCCAAAATAATAACCGCTTAATTTTTTTCCCAAAAAAAAACCCGTCTTCCCCAAATCCCCGCCCCCAGGCCCGCCGCTCCCACCGGGCGCCCCGGGGCCAGGCCCTGGGAGCGGCGCCGCGCCGCGCGCCACAGACATGCCCGGCCCCACGTCGTCTGCGCGCCGGCCCCAGCCCCAGCCAAGCGCCCACGAGCGCTCCCTCAACACCCCCAAGACCACGCCCAGCAACGCACAAACACGCCCAAACAGCGCACAAACACCCCCCAGAACAGCCCCGAAACAGCCCCGCCGCTCGCCCGAAACCACCGCCACGCCCCGCACATCCCCCGCCCTCATGCCGCAGCCGCCCGCCGCCGCCCCCACGCCGCCCCAGAAAACCGGCGGCACGCCCGCCCAAAAGCCGGCCACCAACCCGTTTGCCGGCGCCGCGTTCGTACCGGCGCCCGGCGCCGACCCCGGCGCCGAGCCCCACTTCCCCTACCAGCCCACGGCCGTGCCGCAGCAGCGCTTGCGGGCGCTCGCCTACAAAACGTCCAACCGCATCCTCGACGACATGCGGCTCACGCCCATGTTCGCCGCCGGGCGCGGCGAGCGGGACGTGGCGTCGCTCTTGAACTCGCGGCCGATCGCGTACAAACACACGGTGGCGCGGCTCGCGCGGCGGCCCGCCCCCACGTGTCTCGTGTTGAACGACCCGCTCGCGCACGCGCCGGCCGTGCAGAAAACACAGCACGCCCAGCACGGCGTGGCAGTGTGCGTGGTGCGCGGGCTCGTCGTGGACACGCGCGCAGGCACGGTGGCGGGCCACTTCAAGGTGCAGATCTTGGACGCGGCGCCGCGGGGGCCCGTGGCCGAGAAGATCCAGTACCACGTGGTGCCCCGCGCCATGGTGTCCGTGGACGACTTGAGCTTGCTCGCGGACGCGGCCACGCGCGGCGGGCGCGTGCTTGACGACGCGTTCTTCAAGGCGCTGGGCTCGGCCGCCCACCACATGATGCGCGTGTCCGTGTACGCGCCCGAGTTTCTGCCCGGCGACCTAGCGCCGCTCTCGGACCCGGCCGCCGTGCGCCGCCGGTACCTCGACCACCTCGACCGCCACCCCGGCTCGCCGCTCTTGCGCGACGCGGTGCCGGGCCCGGTGCACTGTTTCCACACGCTCCTCAAGGTGTTGAAGGGGCCCGTCCTCCTCGCGCCCGACGAGCCCACGCACACCATCAGCCGCGCCAAGACGGGCTTGGACGCCAAGCTCGACGTGGACTTGCTTTTCCGCGCCTTGGGCTTCACGCGCGGCGCGGACCCGGACAGCTTGGTGCCGCCCAACCTCTGCCTCCCGGCAAACGCGCCCATGAAGGAGAGCTACATGCGCAAGGCCACGGAGCTCGTGTTCTTGGGCAAGGCGCTCCCGCTGCCCGGCCGCGCCAACGACTTCGACGTCCGCTTCTCCTTCAGCGACAACTTGTCCCAGGTGCACGCGCTCTTGGCCGAGGTCGACAAGCACGCCTCCTTGACCATGGCCTGGGATGACGACTCCAACTGCCACCCGGACTACGTGGCCTTGAGCGCCTACGCCTACTTCCAGGACGAGCTCGTAATCCGCTGCTACGAGAACACCGTCAACTCCGACCCGCACAACAAAATGCACTACGTCGACAGCTTTGCTCAGCTCCTCCTGCTCCGCGCACACTCCGGCTCGGCGAGGCTCCGCTCCTACTACACCAACCAGTTCCTGAAGGGCCTCATGTACGGGCTCTCGGACTACCGCAACGCGCTCCGCACATTGGGCATTGCCGGCCTAGCCGACGACGCCGTGGTCGACGACGACGCCATCTTGGAGGTGTACAAGGCCGCGTGCAGGCTGGACCCGAAGAACTACACGTACTTCAACAAGCAGCTCCGCACCGTCTGTGCCATCAAAGAGAGCACTTCCATCAAGGACTTCATCCGCGCCGAGTTGGTGCCTCAAGCTGTTGCGCTCGACGAATTGAGGATCGAGGACCTCACGGAGGACGAGGTCGTGGTCACGGCGTACGAGTTCAGACTCGACGAGGTCATGCAGTCCGTCAACTTCAACGCAGACAGCCCCGAGGTCCTGTTCCTCCAGAAGTGCTTGCTTTCCATGGCCGTCGTCCGCAAAAGCTATATATTGATGTCGTACATCGATGTCCATATGCCTGCATTTCTGGCCCCGTCGAAAGCTCTCGGCGCCGATGAAGCCGCAGCCCTTCTTGGCGTTGACGGCTCGACTAACGACTTCGACATCATCTCAAACTTCCAGGAGAAACTAATGAACTCTTCCTATGGCGACGACATTGATATCCGTCTATTGAGAGCCGCCCTCGAAATCTTGGCAAGACAAAGAGCCTCGGAAATTTTGCTGAGCTTCTTGAAAAGCGGCAAGATTGACGAGTCATTATTGCCTGCTGAGAACTGGCCCACAGGGTTGGACAACATTGGAAACACCTGCTACTTAAACTCTTTGTTGCAGTACTACTTCTCGATCAAGCCTCTCAGAGAGTTTATTTTGAACTTCGATGAAAAAAACGTCGACTTGCTGAAGCTCTGTTCGCGGAAAATAGGCGGGCGCTTAGTGGAAGAATCAGAGGGAGCCCGCTCGATTCAGTTTATCTACCGCCTCCAAGAACTATTCAAGGAAATGATCTTCACAGAAAAACGGTATATCCAACCAAGCAAAGAGTTGGTGTATCTATCTTTCTTGCCGTTATCCCAATTGGTAACTTTTGAAGACCAGGATTTGACCCTGAACTCCGATACAGAGATGGAAGAATGCTCGGGAGAAATGTCTGGGGAAGAAGGCGAAACATCTGTTTCGGCCTCTCTTTCGGAACCAAAGCCTCTGCAATTGACTTCCCAGACTGCAAACTCTGATCTAATTGATATGTGCAGCCTGGAAACCGAGGATAATAAATTGCCGGAGAGAACTAATACTCTTGATAGAAATGAGGACCAAGTTCAAACGAGAATAATGAAAATTGGAAGCGAGCAGATCGAGAGTGCCATAGAAATTGGCAGACAACAGGATGTTACCGAGTGCATTGAAAACGTGACTTTCCAAATCGAAACAGCTCTTGAACCTGAGTACCTCGAAGAAGATGGTGAGCAATATGACCTCATCAAACGGCTTTTCAGTGGGCGTACGAAACAAACAATCACTCCTCTAGAGCAAGAAAAGGCTCCTAGGGTATCATCCGAACGTTTCTTCAGTTTGATCATCAACGTTGGCGATCATCCCAGAGACATTTATGATGCCTTGGACAACTATTTCGGTGAGAACGTGGTGAAGCTCGAGGAGGGCAAGGTAAAAATGTCTGCCACCATTCTGAAAACTCCAGAAATTTTGCAATTCCACGTTCAAAGAGTTCTTTTTGATAGAGAAAAAATCATGGCCTATAAGTCTCTAGAGGTGATTCCGTTCGGTGAGAATATTTATCTCGACAGATATCTCGATACTGAGGATTCTGAAGTATTAAGCAAACGACAGGAGGTTTTTGAGTGGAAAACTGAGATCAGCAAGTTGCACGAAGAAAAACAGGATATTCTTCAGGTCGATTCCGATACTAAGCTCTCGGTTATCGATTCATTGAAGTCAACCTTGAAATATTTGAATGTCAAAGTTTTGGAACAAGAAGAACTTGTGATCAAGCAGGAGACGATTGCCGTAATACAGCATCAGATTGAATTGCTTAACATCCGACTTCAGTCCATCAATACGAGGATTGACAATTTACAACAAAAAATCTCAGAACAATTCAAATCTTACAAGAAGTTCGGATATACCTTGTTTGCGGTTTTCATTCACAGAGGTGAGGCATCTTATGGGCATTACTGGGTTTACATCAAGGACCCCAAGCGGAACATATACAGAAAGTACAACGATGACTCCGTCACCGAAGTGCCTGCGTCAGAGGTGTTTAATTTCACGGAAACAAACACCGCTACACCTTACTACATGGTCTTTGTGAAAGACGAGTTGATCAATGAGTATATTGAACCACTCAAGAGAATCATTAAATGCTAAGATCGCTGCCTCGTGCCGTGCGTTGGGATGGAGATCGCAGAAAAGTTCTCCATTCTTACTTTGTAAATGAGAAGACGGTTCATGACTAGAGCTTTCTGTCGAGTATTTCCTTTTAGCTGCAATACTTCTCCGTCAATCGACCGACGAGATACAAGTTTTTCAGGCCACTCATTGGAAATCTCAATGCAGAGCATACAACTAGAGTATTCCTCTGTACATGATACGGGCGACATAAATGGTTTCTAAACTTCTTTGTGCACAATCTCATTTTCACATATTGCATCCTATTACAGGATATTCAGATTCTAAAAAGGTGCTTGTTTAACTGTCATTCAGAAAAATTGTGTTGGGATCATCTGTTTTAGGCCAGAATCCAGACTGGTTGATTTTTGGTTCCCAATACAAGTGGAGAGGAGATAATTAGAGGTGTCAAATTTGGGCCGGCCGAATGTCTATTCCATAGCGTGATTTGTTTTTTGAAAACATTAGTCACTAGTTGTACTGGATGGAATCAATTTCCCTGCGAACTGCTTAGGTCCGTTGATCTCAGGTGGTGGACAAGAAATGAATAGTCCTACGCAAATATGTCTTGAAATTACATATAAGTGATGAAGGAATTTTAAAGTTTGGTATCGTTGTAAAAGCTTTAAAAGTGAGTATGCTCCAGAAGGGGGGTGTTGGCCACTCATGCTCTATGGAAGTATTCAAACTCTTGTGGGTTATGTGCAGAATTGCACAGAAATCAGAATCAAAGTTCGAAAATGGTGCTTCAAGTTCTTCTGCTAAGGCTTTAAACCAACATATATAGGAGGGTTTTCCTCCTTTCCCTACTGTGGAATTGCGACAGCCGCATAATCTATCTAATCGAACCTCAGACTCTTCACAGTCAGTGTGAATCTGATTCTAATGTACCGTAAACAATAAATTCATTCTTATGGGGTAAGATTGGACAGTGACCAAAGGTGTTGATTTTGTCCCCCATCAAAAGTGAGAATAAAAATGGGCTCGGGGACAGGTGCTATTTTTTCCTTCGTAATTAGCTATTGTTGATAACCCTGTCAAACACAAATTCATTACACATATTGAAATTGGACGAGAGGCACTTTGGCTGTACTTCATCATCAATTTGTACACACGGGTGTCATTTAATATTGCCTTTTGGAAAGGCTAGTACAGAATTTTGAGGTTGTTGGGGCTCTCATCTGAGCGGGCAAAAGTTTCCTATGGTCTAATTATTTAGGCTGACTTAAAATCCTTTGCAACTCGCTGCGGACCTGGCAGATTTCTCTCTCGTTTTCATTCCACAAAAGCGCAGGCATACAACAGTGAACCCAGGGATAATGACTCTCAAACACCGCTCAAAATTGGAATTGAGGGAAATGCAGATTGTGTCTGAGACAATTCATGTTTTTTTCGCATCCAAATATCAGATTGTATTCCAGCTCACAACAAACCCAACAATAATTGGAGCAGCACTTTCAATTGGAGAATATATCAGGTCGTTTCTTCAGGCTCTCTATACAGAAGCAAGCTATCAAAATAATGAAAGACATTATATTCCAAGAGCCAAGTAAATTTGGGTGGTATTAGTAAAAATTACCAGCAGGTATCAGCAGCCGTGCGGAAAAGGTGGCAAGTTCAAGTTGTGTTCAATCCTTCAAGCTGCTTTCTTCTTGAGATGACTCTGGTTGAGCCACGATACACGTGCTCGTTTTTAAGCAATTCAGAAATTTGGGTGGTTTGGTTTCTTGCCGTCTAAAATATGTTCAAAGCTGATCGTAATAAAACACGTGGGTATGTCCAGTAGGTCATGGTAGTGCAGGCACCACCGCCTGAACAGAGTTCATCCACCGCGTGTCACGTGACGCGCGCCGTCTCCGCAATCTAATCTGGTGGCGGAGATACCCGCTATATGTATGCCGAGCCTCAGCGTTTATAATACTTCATAGACACCGCCCAATTAGCCAATTCGGACACTTCCGTCAACTCGTCGCACCTAGAAAACTTGCCAAATACATTTAACAAATCCCAACCACTTTGGGCCATGAGGATCTTAAAATGGGTCTTTTTATCGCTGCTCACAGTGGCCCTCCAGAACCCGAGCCTGCCTAACAATGTACGGTCGGCTGTGCTCTTGGAAAGAATCAGCAACAACGCCGCCATTCGGGAAATTTTTGATCCAAATGTGGAGATGTTCCTGGGCCAACCCGACGACAAAACGCCCAGCGATGACTGCCCGCCTTGTTTCAATTGCAACCTCCCAAATTTCGAGTGCACTCAGTTTTCCCAGTGTAATACTTTCACGGGAATGTGTGAATGTCGTGACGGATACGGCGGCATGGACTGCTCCGTGCCCTTATGTGGTGGTCTAGAGGATGGCAATGGCAACAGGCCCATGAGAAAACATGACACCTGTGACTGTAAAAATGGATGGGGAGGCATCAACTGTAACTTGTGTACCGAGGACTCGGCGTGTGACGCCTTTGTGCCCGAGGGCTTGAAAGGCACGTGCTACAAAGGCGGGCTTCTTGTGAACAAGTTCCACCAGATGTGTGACGTGACCAACAAGAAAATCGTGGCCATCTTGGACGGCAAAATCCCACAGGCTACTTTCAGCTGCAACAAGACCGCCGAGACTTGCGACTTCCAGTTCTGGATCGACCAAAAAGAGTCCTTTTATTGTGACTTGAACCAGTGCAAGTACGAGTTCAACGCCAGGTCTAACACCACGCACTACAACTGCGAGTCCGTTGCCTGTAAGTGTTTACCCGACCGCATGTTATGCGGTGAGAAAGGTCTGATTGACATCTCCGAGTTCCTTACTGAGACCATTCGGGGACCAGGTGACTTCACGTGCGACGTCAATGCGAAAAATTGCCGGTTTTCAGAGCCCAGCATGAATGACTTGATCTCGTCGGTGTTCGGCGACCCGTACATCACGTTGCATTGTGATTCTGGCGAGTGTATCCACAAAAGCGAGGTTCCGGGCTACGATATTCCGCAACGACGGAAATTTACCATCAACAACTTCATCACAATTGGTGCTGTGCTCATTGTATCCAGTGTTATCATCAGCTGGTCCGTGTACAGCGTTGGTAAAAGCCCGCTTTTCTCCTTAACAAGTGCTTCAGGCTACGTTCCCTCCACGGACGAGCATAATCCGCTCAGTGAGAATTATACCCCAGCCGCGTTTTCCTTCAAGAACGTATCCTACACTCTAAAGAACGGAACGAAGGTTTTGAATGATGTCTACGGGCTTGTGCATCCGGGCCAGTGCTTGGCCATCATGGGCGGCTCTGGTGCGGGAAAGACAACCTTGTTGGATATCTTGGCTGCAAAGAAAAAGCGTGGAAGTGTAGAGGGAGAGATCTACGTCAATGGACAAGTCTTGTCTCCCTCTACATATAAGTCGATCGTTGGATTTGTCGACCAGGAAGACCATCTTATTCCCACTTTGACCGTGTATGAAACTGTTTTGAATAGCGCGTTATTAAGGCTTCCCCGGGCCATGAGCTTTGCTGCAAAAGTATCGCGTGTCACCGAAGTGTTAAACGAGCTCCGGATCCTCAGTATCAAAGACCGTGTGATTGGGTCAGATTTTGACCGAGGGATATCGGGCGGCGAGAAGCGGCGCGTCTCCATCGCCTGCGAGTTGGTCACGTCTCCCTCGATATTGTTTCTTGACGAGCCCACATCGGGTTTGGACGCCTATAACGCGAAGAACGTTATTGATTCGCTCGTGAAATTGGCCAAAGATTTCAACAGAACCATTGTTTTCACAATTCATCAACCTAGAAGCAATATTGTATCTTTGTTTGATAAACTCTTATTGCTAAGCGAAGGTGACTTGATATACTCGGGAGACATGATCAATTGCAATGATTATTTCGGAAAACATGGATACCCATGCCCTCTTGGATACAACATCGCGGACTTCTTGATTGATATCACTGTCGACCACAAGAAAGTCATTCGTGTGCCGAATGAGGCTAGTACTAAAAGCGTTCATGACCGCTTTCTTTCCAATACGACTGGTAGTACTGACATTACGAGAGAATGGGAGCATTTTGCTGTTCATCGAGATGAATATAATTATCAAAGAATCGGTGACTCTTCTGAAAATGGGGACGAATTAATCAGGTTGAACACAAAATTGCCTCAAAAATTCGAGGAATCTCCAATTTCCATCGAACTTAGGAGAGAAATTCTGGAACTTGCTGTCGATCCTAAGGAACTAAACTTAGAGCAACACATGCTTCAAAAAGCAAGTTTTTTTACTCAACTTTCGATATTGTCGTCTCGGACATTCAAGAACTTATACAGGAACCCACGACTCCTCTTGACAAATTACGTGTTGTCGCTTGCTGTTGGACTTTTCTGTGGTTTCTTATATTATGATGTCAGCAACGACATCAGTGGATTTCAAAACAGACTTGGTGTGTTCTTTTTTGTTTTGGCACTCTTTGGATTCTCTTCCTTGACTGGCTTACATTCATTCGCACAAGAAAGAATCATCTTCATTCGTGAAAGAGCCAACAATTATTATCATCCTGCTTCATACTATGTCAGCAAAATTATTTGTGATTTGCTTCCCCTTAGAGTACTTCCACCCGTTATTTTGTTGAGCATCATGTACCCCATGATTGGATTGACCATGGAGCATAATGGATTTTTGAAAGCTCTTGCGATATTGGTGCTTTTCAATCTCGCAGTTGCAATAGAAGTCTTGATCGTGGGAATTGTGATTAAAGATCCGGGAACTTCAACGATCATCGGTGTACTAATTCTTTTATTTTCGTTATTGTTTGCAGGCTTGTTCATCAACAGCGAAGATCTAAAAACACAGATGAAATGGCTTGAATGGATTTCTCTATTCCACTATGCGTATGAGGCGTTGGCTATAAATGAAGTGAAAGACTTGATCTTGAAGGAGAAGAAGTACGGGCTCTCCATAGAAGTCCCAGGAGCAGTGATTTTGAGCACTTTTGGCTTTAATGTTTCTGCCTTCTGGAATGATATCCTTTTTTTGGTCGGTTGGGGAGTGACTTTTGTCGTGTTAGGGTATGTCTTCTTGCACTCCTTTACTTACGAGAGAAGGTAATTCGATGCGTCATGATTTAGAAAAATAAATTCACACGTTTCCCGAAGCATGAAGTATGATAATCGAGAAATTCATTTCTTTTCTGCAGGGCAGGCAAAACGACACTAAAAGTAACTGTACATGTAGTCACTCGAAAACTCATGCTGCTCCCAAAATCTATGAATCTGATACCAAAGATTCTTAACGGCTTTCAGCTTCGCACCTAGTAACAAACATCGACGTCCATTCTCTCAGGAATGGCCCAGATGTGTTTTATTTTTTATTTTTCTTTTGGTAGATTCATCTGATTAAAGGGGCAAAACTATATAACGAATATATATAAAAAACCTTTAAACAGCTCCCAGATTAAAGGGGCAATATAATCAGTTGCCAGAGTAAAACTTCTTCTTGGTAAATTTTTAATATTCCCCCTTTCTGTTACATTAAAACGAAAAGTCGATTTGAACATTTTCAAAAGGTTGTTTTCTATCCAGGGCCTGCGTGGTGTTTCCTTTTACCAACTCTTTTTATCATTTTGCCTACCACCACTTTCATATACAGGCAACTTGTCCGAGCGGTTAAGGAGAAAGATTAGAAATCTTTTGGGCTTTGCCCGCGCAGGTTCGAATCCTGCAGTTGTCGATATTTTTGTCGCCGGTGGTGGTCTTGCGGCACGATTTTTGCTGTTCCCGGCAGCGATGCTTTCCCTCGGTGTCCGACAAGCCCATGCAAGAGAAGTGCCGCACAGCCAAGGCGATGGGCAGTGTCAGCTTTTGCCAGACAAGAGCTCGCGACCAGCCCAGAGGATCTCGGTAGTATTTGTATTAGAAAATATAGTGAATCATCAGCGTCGATTGCAGTGTGTGGATTAGGCTGACGTGGTGCTCCCCGTGTACGCATGTGCTAGTAGACATAAAAAAACCAGAGTAGATAAGAAGCGCAGGGTTCCGGCCGCCGCGGCGCCGCGCTTACTCGGAGATGAACGTGGCCTCGTTGAAGGCCACTCCGTCCTCGGAGTCGTCGCCGTGCTTGATGGTCAAGGTGTTGCAGAACTGGTAGATGTAGGGCTTGGCGCCGGCCACGCCGCTGACGATGTTCTTGACAAACTGCGGGATTTCCGCCATGACGTCCACGCGCTCCACGAGCTGGCTCAAGGCGCCGGAAACCGTTGCCACGGGGGCCGCGGACGTGCCCTCGGAGAAGTTGAAGGTGATGCTCTTGGGCACGCTCCACCCCACCTCGTCCACCTCGGCGTTTTCGTGCACCACATCGTTGTCGATGGAGGTGGCGAGGATCTCCGTGTCCGAGGTCAAGATGGCCACGTTGACCTTGGTGGTGGCGTAGGACTTGGGCGTGGTGAACTCCATCTGCACGGCGCTGTAGTGCTCGGACTGGAAGTTCAAGAAGTTCCACGACTTGGCGGCGTGGTGCGGCTTCATGCCCTGCAACGCCATGACGAACATGGTGTAGCCGCTGATCTCCACGGTGGCGGCCTTCAACTTGATGATGCCCGTGACCGCGCAGCGGGGCCAGAACGCGTGTCTCATGGAGCCCCAGGGCTCGTCCAAGCTGTCGCCGTAGAACGTGGTGCCGTCCGCACCAAACACGACGCCTGGCACGATGCGCGTGACCACCAAGTCCACCACCGAGTCCTCGGTCACGGCCAGCTTCAACGTGTACGTGTCGTTGTTGGCGCCCGAGTTCTCGATGGACAAGTTGTCCGCGTAGAAGTTGGCGCCGTCCGTGCGGAAGTTCTCGAGCGCCGTGGACGTCCACACGCAGTTGGGGTCCGCCGCGCCAAGCTTGCTGTTGTACAACCGGAACGTGAACTGCGCCGTCGTTTTGATGCCCATGAGGTTGGAGTGGATCACCTGCGCAAGCCCGATGTAGCCGGACTGCAAGTCCGTGAAGTAGAACGTCTGGGTCTCGACGTTGGTGTAGTTGGGGTGTTTCCAGGCAAAGTCCTCGAGAACCGTGGCCCGGGAAACGGCCTGGCCCTGCTGCTTGATGAAGTCGGTGACTGGGTGGATGGCCTCGCGGCCGTACTCGGGCTCGGCGGTGCCGGCCACCACGGACAATCCTGATTGCATCCACTTCAACATACTGGTGTGTTTCGGGTGTTTGTGGTTTGGTGTGTTTCGGGTGTTTCGGGTGTTTGGGGGGTGGGTGGTTTTTTTATGGTGGAAAGAAAACCGGCGGGACATTCCTGTCTGCTGGATCCGTGCTGGTTTTATGGGGCCGGTTTGCGGTGCGATGTCACGGGTGGCGCGCCATGCACGACCACAGCACCCAGGCGCGCCCGGCCCTGGCTCTGTTTGGCCACTTCCGCACAGGTCGGCCCTGCCTCGAATTTTCATACTGTGCGCATATTGCGGGAGCTGCGGTTTGCTTGGGCGTGCAAGCCGGTCCCGAAGGGTGGGGTATCATTTATAGAAGTATAGAATCTAAATTAAATACAGCGAATAAAAGACCTAGAAGATTAATAAAATCTGTAGGAGATAACAGACTTATGTATGTTAGATACGCAGATGATTGAATTGTTGCTATAAATGGTAAATATAATGACACTGTTAATATTAAAAATTTAATTATGGTATTTAGTTCCAATGACTTATATATATAAATTTATCAAATAATATAACAAAAATAACAAATAGTTATTTAGATAATATTTTATTTTTAGGTACGTATATTAAACATTTTACTAGACGAGAATCCCCTTTCTTAATGTTAACAGCTCCTATGGACCTTATAGCTAAGAAACTTAGTTTAGCTAACTTTCATAATTATCATAAAGGTATTACCAAATCTGTATGAGTATCTCTAGAATTGTATAAAATAGCATACCTTGCTAATAGTGTTAATAATGGTTATCTTAATTATTACTCTTTTGTTTACAATAGAGCAAGATTAACAGGTTATGTATACTATATAATCAAAGATTCTGTTTTACGTACTATAGCAGCTAAAATGAAATTAAAAACTAGAGCTCAAGTCATAAAAAAATATGGTAATAATATTTCAATCAACATACCTGGTGATGTCTTTAATAAAAATATCAAAACAATTAGCTTAAATAATGTAAGTAGATTATATAGAATGAATCTTTGAGATTTTAAAGTTAACACTTCTAATAATATTCCTTCCTTGTTTGCTACTGATATTTCTTTTTTAGGTCATGTGCTCTAGTCAATACAGAGTAGATATACGTAAACTTAAAGATTTAAAATTAGACAAAACTGATCTTAATTATCTTATGAGTAAAATAAATCGTAAAGGTGAAATACCTTTATGTATAAATTGTCATATTAAACATCATAATGATTACTATTATATAATCTAACAGGGTATTATGAAATATAATTAATGGATAAATAAAAAAATATATAATAATATATATATATATATATATATTTATATAAAGAATATT